ACTTTTTGGGGTACTGACGTTTGTCGCCGTTTCACGGACGCACGCAATTTTTAACCCGGGCATGTCGGGTGTCTATTTACTCGTTGTCACCGCCTCTTTTATATTTTATTGTGTCTTGGGGCATTTAAGTACATCGTTCACTAAATTTTGGGGTTTGATAAGGAGTTGCTCTAATATCGTGCAACATAAAAATCCGCAACTGCCGCCATTTTATTCTACGGGGTCTCGGCTTTCAGAAAATATATAATGTTTGGGGGGTTTCAAGTCATTTTCGGGCCTAAAATGTGGAATGTGACACGGGGGCAAAAAAATGAGAAAAAGGCCTCGGTCACGAAGGGGTTAAAAACAAAATCAAATCCCAGAAATTGATCCGCCGACGTAATCCATCGATCGCCAGCGTTGTCCACGGCGACTAATCGGCCGAGTACCTTATCCCGCCGGGGGACGTCCCCTCCTCTCTCTGCCGCCTTCCATCACCAAGATGGCCGCCGGCAGGTAACACCGGTACTGCGCGTGACGTCATCACTTGTACGCGATGATGTGGCTGCGGGGTGTCACCCGAGAGCCCGCACCGCGTGTCACCCCGCCTCGGGGCCATTGTACAACCTCCTGTAGGCAGCTGTATAACCTGGCTGTGATAGAATTCCGGCATCCCTCAATCAGTGGCGTATCCAGCGTGTGGCACATAGGGCGCATGCCTTAGGCGCCATTTTAATGGGGGGGCGCTCTTTGGGTCAGCGAATGTTCGGGGGCAGCTGACTCTTTTTCTCTCTCCGTCCCTCTTCCATACACCTCTCCCTGCCGGTCTCTTAGCAACCAGAGACACTGGCCAGTGACATCACCGGTTGCTAGGAGCTGAGCAGAGGTTCCCAGGTTGCTATGACTCAGAAGGGGGCTGGACACTCTGGCTGATGTCCCGCCTGTCTCCAGGCAACCAATGACATCACTGGTTGCCATGAGCTTGGCGTGACGCTGGCCAGAGCACCCCAGGTTGCTAAGAGCTGGGCGAGTAGCGTGTATGGCCCTTACATATCTCCCCACCCGGCTCCAGGGAACCAATGACGTCACACCAGAGGTCCTCAATGGGGCCGCAAGAAGAAGATTTTACAATGAGCACAAGTCATTTATTATTGTATGTAAACGGTCATGTAATGTATCTGACCTACATACATGGCCATGCGATGGGTCTATTCTACATACATGGCCATGCGATGGGTCTATTCTACATACATGGCCATGCGATGGGTCTATTCTACATACATGGCCATGCGATGGGTCTATTCTACATACACTATATTGGGCCCCTCCCCCTCCCAACCATGTGATTCGGGTGTTCCAATCCCCTCCGTGGCCCCCGGTGTATAGGACGAGGCACCTCGGCATGCAGACGCTTCTACAGACATCGGTGAGAGAACGGGTCGCTCTCAGGAGCTCAGTGACTACAAGCGCGGTGCCGTGATAGTTACTGAACCCTACGGACTAAGACTGGGGGGCCATTAGAGGGCGGAGCCAACCCAATACTGAACCCTACGGACTAAGACTGGGGGGCCATTAGAGTTCATGTGCGTGTAAAGGCGTCCCGATACTAATGGCAATATAGTGTACATGGACATGTGATGGGTCTATTCTACATACATGGCCGTGTGATGGGTCTATTCTACATACATGGCCATGTGATGGGTCTATTCTACATACATGGCCGTGTGATGGGTCTATTCTACATACATGGCCGTGTGATGGGTCTATTCTACATACATGGCCATGTGATGGGTCTATTCTACATACATGGCCGTGTGATGGGTCTATTCTACATACATGGCCGTGTGATGTGTATTTTACGTACATGGCCATGTGATGGGTCTATTCTACATACATTGCCGTGTGATGGGTCTATTCTACATACATGGCCGTGTGATGTGTATTTTACGTACATGTGGAATAATCAGACCGGATCCGTCATACGTGTTTATTATACATCGCGGTACATGATAAAAGAAGTCTTGCTGACCATGTGTGCTGCATGCTGGGTAATGCCGGGATTGGGCGGAGCTCCGATGTCAGGTGATCAGGGGCCCCGGGCTTCAGATGGGTCTGAAGGTGAGGAGAGGCGGCTTCTCCGGCATCAGAATAAATCCGAAGACAGTTTTGACGTCTTCTTTGCTCACAGTGTCTATCTGGAAATTCTTCAACATCTGCGAGAGAGAGAAACGGGCTGAGACCGGCAATCCCAACGGATGGGCCCCGGGCTTCAGATGGGTCTGAAGGTGAGGAGAGGCGTCTTCTCCGGCATCAGAATAAATCCGAAGACAGTTTTGACGTCTTCTTTGCTCACAGTGTCTATCTGGAAATTCTTCAACATCTGCGAGAGAGAGAAACGGGCTGAGACCGGCAATCCCAACGGAGGAGGAGGAGGGGCAATCCCAACGGAGGAGGAGGGGCAATCCCAACGGAGGAGGAGGGGCAATCCCAACGGAGGAGGAGGAGGGGCAAACCCAACGGAGGAGGAGGGGCAATCCCAACGGAGGAGGAGGAGGGGCAAACCCAACGGAGGAGGAGGGGCAAACCCAACGGAGGAGGAGGAGGGGCAAACCCAACGGAGGAGGAGG